ACAGTTAGCATGACTTTGGCATCACAGAACGTTACACCGTTTACATTCTAGATGATTATTCACTTTCGTAGTACTGCACAGAAAACCACAATCTGCGTCTTCTGTCTTTCCACTTGCTTTTGTCTTTCAAATCGACTGACTCATTTCCACCGTCTAATTTTTGGTCAACAGGCCAAAGGGAGGCGCTAACATGTTTCCCCTCTTTCCAAAGAAATGGACGTTTATTTTCATCCTGATGCAGTTTGTTATAACACTAAGTGTCTGACATCATGAAACAAATCCACTTTAATCTGCACTTCACTTCAAACAAATGCTCTGTAGGTAGGTAGGTAGGTAGGTAGGTAGGTAGGTAGGTAGGTAGGTAGGTAGGTAGGTAGGTAGGTAGGTAGGTAGGTAGGTAGGTAGGTAGGTAGGTAGGTAGGTAGGTAGGTAGGTAGGTAGGTAGGTAGGTAGGTAGGTGCAGAGTGAAGTCTGTACTTTGTATCGGTCAGTTTCTTATTTCCTCACTGCGACACACAGAGTGGACGTAGAATCTCGGTCCCGCAGGAAATGACCGTTGCAAGTGACTAAAAATAAAAATGGGCTGGTTTCATTTTCCGTTCCTTGACGGTGATCACATTTGGAGATTTCCAGGGTTTCCACACTACAATTTGTAACGATCACATTAGCAAGGACATTATGGTCACTTGAGTCACTGACCCACTCATCCTTGATCCAGTGAGTAAATGGGAAAATGCCTCCTTTGAAATGCCTACCCATGTGGAACGTGTGAAGTGTTTCAATGTATGTATGACTGTAAAGTCAAGGCTTCAGTGACTCAGACACTTCCTTACACTCAAAATCCTGCATGACGATAATGTGATTTATCTGCACATTTTATGTGTTTTATGAGATGATTCATTTAACATGTGTCAAACCCAAGGCCTGGGGGCTAAATCTTGTCCACTATAGCTTTCTATGTGGCCATCCAGACTCCAAATTACATCAATACTGTGAATTTTCTCGAAACTGATGAAAACCATTGGGTTTAAGTAACTTCAGCCTCAGCCTCACTTGATATCGAGCTGTAGTGTGTAATTGACACGGCGAGCGATAGAAAGTCGCATTTAACTTCATACATACATTTCTTAATTGGCACCGCAAAATCTGCAATAACCGCAGTTATTGCTGTAGCAATAACTTTTGTTGCAACACCAATAACTGTTGCAACAAACAGTTATTTATTGATATTTTAAACAGTTTTATTGGTTTTATCAATACATTCTGGCACATTCAGGTTTTTCACCTGACCCAACTCAATTGAAATCAGTTTTAATTGACTCATTACTTTGTTTTTACGTTATTATTAATGTTTTCTGTCTTCTATTTTTGTTGTACAGCATTAAAGCAACAGGAAAACGTTAAAGTTGTATGAACACCTTTGCAACGCAAGGTTTTGTCAAAGATTACTGTTTGAACGTAAGACGTCTGATCTGTTGTCAAAAGTCAGCCAAAAAAATGAGTTATGTTTATTTTTAGTTTCCAATCATTTTTTTACATACTTTCCCCCTTTTTAAATACATGTGATCAAAGTAATGTAATAAAACATCAACTTCTTTCAAGGCTGTTTTCATTGAGTTGGGCCACCACTGCACACACAGCTTCCACCGAAACACAACAGGGTTTCTCAGGAATATCAACAGACCAAAAGTGAAACCGCCAGGAAAACATTTAAAAAAAAAAAGAAGAAAGAAATACACCTCTGCCTCTTAACAGCTTGATAGTGATGCCAGGAAAACCGACCTTAATGCGTGTTTATTCTAAAGATGGCGCATCTCGGCGGAATCCCACTGAGACGAACTTCGGGGAACACCGAGCTTTGTTTAGTTCGTTGTTTATATACGACGAGTCTATGCTGCGTGGATGAAAGCAGAGTTGTTATTTAATAATTCCACTTCCAGGAAGGAAAACAAGCCCATTATGACCGTCGCTCGGCACTTACGAGGCAGGACAGCGCTCTATAAAAGAGAGGGCAGCGGTGAGCCAAACCACAGAGTGTAAACTGTGAGGAACTTCTTCCACCGGGAGACAGAAGCAGCTTTGTTCCTTCGTCCGGTTCTCCTTGAGCTGACTCGCTGGGGTAACCCCTGGTTCACTTCTGGTTTGGTGGTTTGGTTCTTCTGCCAAACCAACGCGGGACGCTTGATAAATAGGTCGGAGCGCGCGCTGGCAGCAGGCTCTTCCCAGAAGTCTCTCGGCCTGAGCAGTGGAGGTGAGCAGGAAGTTACCTTGAATTTACTGTTGGCTCTTGTCAAAACTCTGCTAACTATATATAATAACTTTTATTCCCACAGAGGTGGCTCGTGACCAGTTACATTTTATCAGTTATTTATTTGACAAAACCTTTACTTTTACTTGAATAATATTGTTATTAAATGTTTAGTTCTTAGAAAAGTGTCCGATAGTACTGTTATATTTCATATTTCATAGCTTTACAGCTTTATTCATGATTTTTTTTATCACTGTCTATGAGGACAATATTAAAGGATTAATCAGAAAGCTAGTTTTAAAAAATTAATAAAGTTCCTTATTTGATGCAGACGAGACAGTTTGAAGTGTTTAAAGTGCTGGAATTGAAGCGAAATTTAGTCTCAAGTTAAACATTCATGAGTGACGTAGCGACGTAAAAGGAAATATAAATAAATTATAAGTGCAATTATCAAGCTGAACATGTCACTATGTTCAATCCATTTTCCTTGTGAGAAATAGTTTCCTACTCGAACTTAGTGAATTTGGCTACAATTTATAACAGCCAAAGTCTGTATGTTAAAAGTGTACTTGAATTATTTGTGGGTACAATTAACACTAATACTCTAGTTCAAAGATTTCTCTTTTTCTTAAAATAATATAATAATATTAATATGCTATATTAATATTATAATAACAAAATAAAAATATATAATAGAATATTCTAAATAAAACAGATATATAATAAAATTTTCATAAAATCTCCTACTCCTGCACATTTTTTTTATTAAGGAAGTCTTTAAAAAGCCATTTTTTAAAACTTTTAATATATATATATATATTTTTTTTTTTGACACATCAACTAACCTCATGTTACTGAGTCACTGCCTCAGTAATGTGAGGATGTTACTGTGCCAAAAATAAGTATTCACCGCATGTGCCAGAACACATTTGAAAAAGTCATTCATTATTCGGCACAACACCAAGAGCGAGGCTGAGTCACTTGTAAAAGTTGTGATGCATTAATAGTTCACAGCCTGCATGACTCACGAGGTGAATGATAATTCTGATGTCACATCGTATGTCATGCGTCTCCTCTATAATGTAACAGTTTCACCCAAAAAAAACAAAAAGACAAATTAAAAAAAGAGAAGATTTTAACAGAATTAGGAAGAAAGCAGCATATTTAAAAAATCAAAAAACTGTGCAAAATCTAAAATCTAGATGAAATCTGGACATAAATGTTTGTATTTTATTGCTATAATTTGTAATATTATAAATTACAAAACATGGGGAGTTGATAGAAAACATTTTATTGTAATTATGATAGCTGGGATTTTCTTGCTTAGACTTTGCTTTCTCCAGTTTGTCCTCTGACTCTAATTCCAGCTTTCTCATATCATTCTTACTTTTTAAAGGGGCAGTGTTGCATAAAATAAACTTTTTAGAACTGTACAGCATGCCAAAATGTTATTTTCTTAAAACCTGGAGTGTTTAAAGGGCTGAGCAAAACTCGTGAGTGGGCCTAGCTCCGCCTTCAAGGCACAGCTCCTCCTCTGAACTGCTATTAACATGCACCCTTCAACTGTGATTCCTCGACTCAGCTCCTTCAGACTAGTCAGCATCAATTAGCTGGGGGACCTTCACACCTGCTGAACTTGTTATAGGAATTACTTCTTAGTGCAACACTGGTAAAAACGTTGTTAAAGTGTTAATAAAGGAGCCATGTTGTGATGAGATAATGAGCAATGCCACATTAGTTCATTCAGTTGTCCAAAGTTACATTATTCACTTTGCCACTTTTTCAAAATAGCTGTTTTAAACTTGAGTCACTGTTGCAATCAAATCTCCAAGCGAAGCTGAATCTGCAACATGAAAACTGGCTTGTGGTAGCAACACTATAGCGAAAGAACATCAAATATTGGCAGTTATATTGACAACTGTAAAGAAAAAAAAAAACAGGATGATTTTTTTTTTTAGTTTGTGAAACATGATTTCTGATAACGTTCTTCAGAAAATGATTTTGTAACTGCACAGATTGTAATCGTCTGCAGAGACGGCTTTCTGAGGAACTTTCCAGAGCCCCTGCTGTCTAACAAATCCACCTGTGAGGCGGAGAAAAATACGATTGAATTCAGACAGGAATTTGAAGAAATGCAAATGAGTGTGTGAACAGTTTGAGAAAGAACTTTGTCTCTTTCAGCTAATGGACGTCTTCAAGCTTCTCCTGTCCGTCGTCATGATGATGTCAGCGTCTGAGGGAGACCAGGTAGTGTGTGCACAAAGAGCATCGACGAAAGAAAAGAGAAACGTTATTCGTTTTCATCATTTAGAGGTAGTCAGACTCATGAGGCCAGACTGGGATGCAGGACGTAAGAAATATGATCATTTATGTGACTGCAGAGTTTATGATGAGAGACACAGTTCATCATGTAAACATGCAGACCAGAGGGCAAATTTAAAGGAAAGTTTGTTTTAACTGACTTTAATGACAAATGATAGAGAAAAACAAACATTCTGGAAAATCTGGTTACTCCCCAAAATACTTAATTAAATTTAAAAAAGTAAAAGACGACATATTTTAATAAATAAACTCCACAAAGAGTTTTGCAAAAAGGTCAAATTAAATGTCGTACATTTTCCATTGACCTTTCTCGATTTAAGTATCGTCTTTATCCTCATTTTCAGAAGCATCAGATTCTTCCTGCTTTCACCTGGACCAGGATAAATATAAAGTCATTAAAGGTGAAGCTTTTTATTATGTGCCCCGCGACATGGGCGACCCCAACCTGCCCGATGAAAACATTACGTGGTACAAAAACGGCCCAGAGGTCATGAACATCACCACAGACGAGACACACAGGATCCATTACCATGGAGGAGCGCTGTTTTTCTTAAACATCAGCGCTAACGACGCTGGTTATTATACTGCCAGGTGAGTTCACTTAGTTTTGTTACTTTGCCGTACACTTTGGTTTATTAAAAAAATTATTTTAGCATGCAAAAATGAAAAAATTCTGTCAAACATGAAGCCTCGTCATGGATTTGAGGTATTGTCTAGTTCACCTTTAAAATCCAGGAAACAGAACCCAATGAAACGCCATGAATATCAAAACTAAAGAACAAACTGAATCACAACCAAAACAAAACAAAAGTCCCAAAAGTTTGAACCTAAAGTTTATTCTGTAATTGTGAGAGTCAATAAAAAACAACTTCAGATGTACACAGCCGATCCAAAACAAAATAGAATGACATTGCAATACATTCCTCTGCTAATAGACTGATGAAAAGAAAGGGAGAAAAAAAAAACTCAAGTGAAAGAAGTGACGGTTTTTCCTCCTCTGCCTCAAAGGAGGAAGTGATGCGATCAGTGCAGAAACCTCCAGTTTCAGAGATTGCGTCATCTGTGACAGTACAGTTATATTAGTCGACCACAAAGTGAAATATTTGCTGTCATAATGGTTTTACGGTCTAACACTGCTAGTCCACAAGCTGATCATGGCTGACCAGTTAGTAAGGTTTGTTAAGCAACCAGAGAATATCTGGTTACTAGAGGAAACTCTCTGGGTTTTCACTTTGCATAAAGAAAAATGTTATTAGTTTGAAACCAAAGCTTTTCTAAGGAGTTAATACACCTTGGTACCGGTCATTGGCCCATGACTAGATAGTGTGTTGCAGAGTATTCTGCACTTTTATTGTTAAATGAACAGTTTTTAGTCACAGCAACAGATCTGAGGACATTTATCTCATGACCTTTAGAAGATTCATTAATGCAGCTTTGTATCTTAATTCTGTTGTATTTCTGAGCTACCAGATCCTTTTTCTTCTTCGATGTTTGAGATCAGCTCATCTGTGAACGTTTCTTTCTCCACAGGCACATTGAGCCATCAGGTGAATGTTTCTACTATCACCTGAAGATCGAGGTCTTCAATGAAGCAAGTCGAGAGAATTTGACCTATGGCTCAATCCAAAACTCTGCGCAGAACATAAACATTCCTTGTCCGCAGCCTGTTAAAGACACATGCAAAACATTTAATGGGAAATTCACCTGGTTCCAGGTGAGGGAATCTCTGATCGCTTTATTTTGTGGAAGCGCATCACAAAAGCGATCGGTTTCTAAAATGTTAACAGAAGATTATATTTGAGATTTTTTCCCATCCTTTCTGATGTTTTTCTCATTTTTATTGCAGGGCAAGAATCTCATTCCTGGTGAACATAAAGGAAACCTGTGGATAAATGATGCAACAAAAGATGATGAGGACATCTACACCTGCTTATGTACCTGGACTCACAACCACATGGTGTACAATTCTTCTGGTTCCAGGAAACTTTTTGTTTTAGGTGAGTCCTTTAGATGGTTGGCTATTCAGACGAAGGCAGGAATGTGCTTTGGATTAATACATATAAAGCCAAGTGAAAAAGTGTTTGCTCCTTCTCTGATTTATTCAGTTTTTTCTTCTTTGTTACATTTGTTTCATTAAGCACTGGGAAATATTTGAGAGAGCATTACCTATAATTCAGTTTTATTGGCTCCAGCTTCTGCAGAGGACCACACAATGAAAATCTTTCTGTTTTGCTCCCTTATAGAGAAAGCTGTTTATGAAAAAGTGAAAATCATCTCTCCAAACACTAAGGAGCAGCTGGTTAAGAAAGGTAAGAAAACTTCCTAAAACATTGACTTCACAACTCCTCAGTCTCAGTTTCTGTGCTTTTATCACAGGAAAGTTATAGTCAGAGAAAATGAACTGCTTAAAAATAATACTTTTCTCATGATATTTGAGGTGAGGTCATTTCACTTGTTCAGCACATTTTCAGCAGCAAAGCAATTCAAAGTGCTGCACATGAATTAGAAGGAAATACAAACAAAACAAAAGAAAAACAAGTGAAAATAAAAGTACATATTGGTTCTCCATGGATAAGAATAAGATTTTATAAACTAACAGGGGTTTCTCAAGATCCTTGATCTGATAAGATGAGATGTTGGTTCTCCATGTCTGAATCTATAAAATAGATGGTCCTAAATGTTGATCTGACGTTACGAGTAGCTTTGGTGGTGTTTCCTGCATTATTAACTTTGCTTTTTTACTTTTGGACTGCCATGTTCTAATGGCAGAACATTAGAACATGTTTTAATTTTGCTAACGCTGTTGATTCAGCTGAATATTTACTTCAGTTAAATGGCATAAATTGATGTACAATTATAAATATAAAAATTAGTTGTTTTTTTTGGTGTGAAATGCATTCATCTGGCTGCAGATGAATGCAAATAACTCTTCAGTAGAAGTGAAACATTGCTATGAAACACAGAGACAGTGAATGGAAACTATATTTCAATGTAACAAACCATCATGTGTTCAACAGGCTCCAGCATGAAGCTGAACTGCACTGTTGACTGTGGGATCAATGCAGAACGGGAGTGTGAGGCCACCTGGTTGATCAATGGAAGCCCAGCAAAGCAGATGAACGGATACAACGAAACCACCAAGTTGTAAGTCTGAACATTATGTTAACTATTCTGAGGTAAATTTAGATTATAATTCTGAATTTGAACTTTTTCCACCCGACGCTGTCCGATTTCCTAATGGAATATTTAGTAATAATCTATTAGAAAAGTTGAATGAAGTTATTTAAAATGAAAATTGACATTTAAGTTGGTCTCGTAGCAGTTTTGTGGCATAACAATTTAGTCAAATGCTTACATCAACACACTAATGTTAAAGCAAATCGTTTTTCTCTGTTTGTTTACCAGTGATGTTCCAACGTCTTAATGAAGTACATTTTATTTTTCTTCTCAGAGAGATAGAGGATCCTTCAAAGAAAACCTTCTTCACAGCGACTCTGACCATCGCAAAGGTTTCAGCAGAAGATTTCCAGCATGAGTTTAAGTGTCAGGGTTCAGGCTTTTATACGGCAGCCTTTTCAACTCTGACTCTGAAGAACGATGGTTAGTGTCAGGATGCGTTCCTAAACTTTACAGCCTCTGCTTCTGCAAATGTGATATTTGTAGAAGCAACTGTTAATGTTGCTGGCGATATTACGCTGACCCAAACGAACAACCATCATCATCCTGGCATATCCATGTTTATTTGGTTTGGTTTGTGCATGTTTGATTGCGTACCTTGTGTTACTTATATTAAATTTTTCTTGGCAAATTCTGTTGATTTTTCTGTCGTTAAGTTGTTACCATATAAGTTAATTCCTCTGCGTTTGCTTATTTTTGTTTTGATCTGCATCCTGTAATGGAGGGTTTTCACATGTGGGCCTTAAAATTCATTCAGACAGCTTTTTAGTTCTCATTAGTAGCTTCATCTTTCTTGAGCTAGAAAGATGAAGCTCTAAACTTCTTACACCGGCTCCTTGAAGTGAACACAGCAGATTGTTCACACTGAAGTCACCCAATTCCGATTTCTTTGACGTAGTGCGACCTTTATCCGATCTTTTCATGAAAATCTGTACAGCACAGGTCGGATTCTTTTCGAATGCGACCCAGGCCACTTGCATATCCAATTCATTGCATATCCGAACTGAACGTCACTGATACTCAACAAATCTCACTGTTCTGCGTCCTGATACAAGCACCTTTAGCAACCACGTTTACTTCTACAAACACTTTCAGGTCGTTTGCCTGTTCAGGCTTACAGGTCGTCTATTTGTGGCAGTGAACGGCCCTGGCAAAAAAAAAAAAATCGTAATTGGGTCACTTCAGGCTGCAGTGTGAACGCAGCCAAAATCGCTTTTGTTAGCTTGTAAATCACTTTACAGCTAAGTCCAAGACACACTAAAGATGCGTTACAGAAAACTGCAAAAATGCTGAAACACTGAGTTTCTTTAAATTAAGGATGACATTTTATTTGGTATATTTCTTTTTGATGTATCTTTAATAACTCCTGGGACATCACAAAGTGTAGCCTGGGTTTCAAACTGGCATCACTGTCCCTTCCTTTGCTACGACAACGTAATGCTTTATGCTTGTTTGTTGTTGTATTTTATTTCTAGTCACGTAAAAAACGCTTCTGAATTACTTTGTTGCTGAAAATGCTCCATTTCAAATAAAATTGCCTTCCCTTCCCTTGCATGAATATTATTTCCTTTAAACTTTTGCCAAGTTTTGTACTTTGGGTTTCAGATCTTTATAGTTCAGAAACTATAAAGACGGGAAACTTATCTTCAACATTTGTTTTTTTTGTTTTTCCTTTTGAGTTGTTTATGACTTTACTACCCGGCTCCAGTGGCCCAGGAGGGTCACACAACACAACAGTAAAAACGACAGGAGTTATGCTAAAACTATTAAGTTCCATATTATTATTTGTCCACATTTTGTTGTAAGACATATATGTTAGGTTTTTTTTTCTTCACTAAATCTTGTTCTCTCACTTTGGTGTGGCTGACATTTTTTTAACATTGTGTAAATCAATTGGATATTATTTACATTTGTTAGAACAGCACAAAGGTAAACAAATAGATTTTCCTGATTTCTCAAAATCTTTTTTGTTTTGTTTTATAAAAACAAAAAAAAGGCTTTTCTGATTTCTAGTGGGTGGCCTAGACATGCTGACCCACTGGAGGTATTCTGGTGTCTCTGCGTTGGAAGCCGGTGGCTTAAACTGAACAATAAATTGCTGTTCTTAGATGAGTTTTGTTGCATTTGTCATGAATCCTACTCAAAAACTCATTTGTATTTGTCTTCCAGAGTCCTTCACGCTCATCGTCGTGTTCCTCGTTGTGGGAGTGGGTCTGGTTTTGTTCGCCGCTGTGGTGGTGAAACATTTTGTCACTAAGTTCGCTCATTTGATGAGGCTCTACTGCACTCCAAGAAGACGCAATGAAGGCACAATATGTTAAAGGTTTTGCTTCCTCAGATGAAACCCGTGGGTCACTCTCAATTTAGAAGGAAGGCTAAATAAATGAGCTGCAATCATTTAACGATTCAGAGACATGAACAATGCGAAATAATGTTTTTTCAAATGAGAAAATTGGTGTTTAGTGAGCTCTAATGTCAGCACTTTTCTTCTACCACCATTGAAATAAACAGTACATTGTTGTGGAGCAAGATGACACCTGGGAGCAAAGGCATATAACGACCAATGAAGAATGTGATGTAGAAATTCGCAACCAATCACTGTAAAAGGTGCCACCTGGTGTACGTTCATACTAAACATAGTGCAGTACTTTTAGAACAGGCTATACCATCTTAACGATGGTCTGGACCCTATTCTACTCAGAATCGACTGGATCTGATTTTACCCTGCATTGGAAACATTGGCAGAGTCCAACTCGGCGAATCAGACCCAATCATATTCAACAAACTCCACGCCTCCAATAAATAAATTGATAACGTCCAGAACGTTTGTATGAAGCCAAGAGTGGAACAAGGGACTGATTTTCACCAAGTGATATACATGTCATAATTCTGCACCACATGAAGACAGTTGTGGTAAATCAGTCCAGATGTGAATAAAGGCAACCAGAGTCAACATTTTGGATGGAGTCAACCAATGGAAAGACAACAAAGTCTTTGATTGATTCTTAAAATCAATAATTCTGACATTTGAAGAGCTGTTGGAATTTAAAATGGCTCAAATTATATTTAAGGCATCTAATAAACCACTACCTAACTCGTTTCATGAAAGGGGACGGGGATATAACTTAAGGATTCATAGTTTATGAACAAACAGACTTTTGTATTTCAATTCATGGTGTGAAATTATGGAGCAAGTGAAATGAGGAGGTAAAAAGTCACATTTTAATACAAGATATAGAATCATGGGTGGGAGATAGCGTTATGTGTTTATGTAAATTGAGGCTGTCGCATATGAGTGTGTGTTGGTATGGATGCACATATTTAGACATCTGTAAACCCAGATTGAAAAGGAAAATTTGTCAGCCTGTGTTTATTTGTTATTTTTCTATTTAATAATGCGGATCCATCTGAAAATGTTGTACGAGTTTATGGGGTAGTTGATCGGTTTCTTACTTGTTCCTGCTCCTTTTCGAGCCTGTTGAATATGTGTCTTTCCATTCCTTGTTCATGTGTGTGATTTCTGTGACTTCTGTCATGTTCAAAATAAATAAATTCAAAATTGTGACGATACTGTCTGTTCCCATTGCTCAACTATTCTGTACATGTGGAGGAACCACTGTGGTAGAGGTGTGATTGATTAGTACAATAGAATAGAATAGAATTTATTAATCCCCAAGGGGATTAGCTATTCCAGCTGTGTATTTTTATTATTTAAAATAAAAATATATTTAAAAGATGCTTCATAATATGAATACAAAGCTGCCAGAAAGTGGTGTATTTCTCTGAAATACCGCACATGCGCAGTGCTATCCTCCTCCGCGTCCAGCAGATGGCGGTAAACCTCTTGCATCCACAAATAAACCCTATAAAAGAAATACAGCAGATTTAATAAAAAGTAACAATTCAGTTGAGTCTCATGTAAAATTAACCTACACTTTGATGAACTTCTTGAGTTTATCCCACGCTACCATTTTGAAGCGTGGGATATTGTGCGCTAAATGAGTAAAATACATCAGTGTCATTCACTTAGTGCTAACTAGGCTAACTAGGCTAATTTGGGGCCGTTTCGGAGAGCGTAACATAATGTACAAATCAGACGTGTCGTTACCGTTTGCGGCCGCTAGATGGAGACATTACAGCAGGCTCGGTGAGGAGGTCAGGAGGGGACACTTCCTCCTCTGTCAGCGCGCGCCGTATTTTAGATGTGACACAGCATGAAGAGACAGCTGAGTGTTGTGACTCCAGCCTGTGCAGTCATGGAGGAGAAGTGTAATACATGATGGAGGGTTGAGTCAAGACGCCTGTGAAGGTAGGTGGAGACCCGTTACTAGCAGGTTCATCCAGGACATAGAAAGTGTTTTAAGTTTTCCTGACAGGGGGGCAGTTTCCTCTCCTGTCACTTCACAGTCAGAGCCGACATGATCTTCAATGGGGAAAAAGCCAGAATACAAAATAAAAGAGCCTGCTGGCATTGTCTTCTTTTTAGATTCTAAACAGCACAATAATAAACTGGAGAACAACCAGTAATTAATGAGTGTCTGCTTGAAGACATGCAGGCGACTGGTTACCAAGTGAAGGTTAAAAACAGAAATCCCTTAAAAAGAGTAATGGGTCCCTCTTTCTACCTCATCTGCAATAAAAATAACATATATGCACATTTTGAACCAGCACCAAACATGCTATTTGATATCGTCACATTTCTGCATCAAAATATTTATTATTATCTTATTGTATTGGGCTAATGTCGTTTTTTGCATTTAAATCTGATGGTTTTTATTAGCTGTAAGCGAAAAAATAACAAAAATAAAGGAAAGGCAAATGTCAGCCTGTGTGACATTTGCACATAATTTGTTTCACTTAGTGAACCAAGTGGAATCAATTAACGATATTTTTGTTTGTTTGTTTTGAATGGGTCTGTATTTCACATGGGCCACATTTCTGTGAAGGAGGATTTCTGACCCACTGAACTGCTCTTCTATTTTTAAGCTCATCCTATTGATATGCACATTCTCACCGTTGCCTGGCTGCTAATAAACAAGATCTTTGTGGTTTATGGCCGTCACAAATTTACTATTCTCATGTGATTCTTTTTTCTTTTCCTTTTTATCAATTTAGATATTTTCCCATTACCCAAGATGCAGAGCAACAGTATAATGCGGGGGAAAAAAGAAGATAAAAGTCGAAGCACTGGGGTTACGTGGGTGGCTGTTTATATTGTCAGCTTTTTAATAATAATAAAAAAATCAGCTGAAAATGATTTCTTCACTCATGAATTTGTTAGCTTTTTAATCCTTGCAGTATCATAAAGTGAGTTGTTTTTTTCAAATATGATTTGCTCTTAGGCATAAATTCAGCCTGCTTCTCCTTTTGACTCTGTGCATGCTCTGCACATGTCCCCATGTGCCCTTCTACCTCTCTCTCTCTCTTTTTTTTTTTTTTGCAAGCTGCTGGTCAGACTGAGATGCGTGTGTGTGCGTGTGTCAGTGATCAGCAGGAGCAGCACCATGGCACACTCCTAAAGAAAAGGCGGGGGGATGGAAGGGGCTGAATGACGTTTGGCCTGGCAGCTGGGAGCTGCTCCACGCCATTGTTCCCCTCTGACCCCCTGACCCGGCACTCGCCCCGATGACACTCACACACGCACACGTTCACACACCTGCAGATAGGCAGACACATGACCTCGCAGGCACACACACGCACACAGAAGGATGCAGGAGCATATATGTAAACGTGGATCTGTGCTGAAGTGCACTGGAGACACATATGCACTCTGTGTTCAATGAGCCTGCAGGGAGGGGAAGCCGGAGGGCCGAGGGTCGACCATCTATCATGACTTAATGAGAAAGCTGTGAGCGTAAGTGTGTGTGAGGCTGATGTATTAGATGTAAAATAGAGAAAATTTGGTATTAAAATGACAAAAACTTGATTTTATTACTTTCCATAACTACACTGAAGTCTCTTGATGACAAAAAATAAATATATTTCACTTAGTTTTATTGTTATCCTGCTTAAAACTGGTTTTACTCACTTGCGGGGC